TCCCAGGTTAAAAGGATTTCTAACCCATGTATGGACTGCTGGTATCATCAGCTAGGGTGAGAAATTGCTAATGTGTATCCAATCTATCTAGTATATTAGGGTAGTTTGCGGTTTTGTTCATTTGCTAGGTAATCTGCTTTGAGCTGTTTGCTGTCACTTATCACTTAAAATCCATCTTTTGTAGTTAATAAACTTGTTTTTTGCTTTATCTAAACCAGTGTGACTTTGAGTGAAGTGTCTGGAGAAAAATCTCAGCTTGGTCTACACAGGCTTGTTGCATATTCCTCTCCACATTGAGGGAGGGGTGAACCGGGTAATAAATTCATCCTATTCAGGGTTTTGACCAGGGCAGGACAGTACACTTCTGGGGTCCTAGGCTGGGGAACTTGGGGTTATTTTGGCTGTAGCCTCTCCATTGTTGGTTCATGCAGTGGCTGATTATAGCGTACATGCAACTGCAGCTGGGTGTGTCCCTGCCTGTGAGAATACTGGTGTAAGTGTAGGACCGGGAGTGGTCTGCAACTTGTCACAGCAGCACAGGGTGAGAGGGAGCCCAGGCTGGTGAATCAGAGGGCTCAGTCCTACCCCAGTTCAAGTAGCACTCTGGGGGTACAACCCATCACAGGGGTCAACAAGCACATGGACAAGGGGGATCCAGCGGCTATAGTGTACTTCGGCTTTCAGACAGCCTTTCACAAGGTCCCTCATGAAAGTCTCGCAAGCAAAATAAGCTGTCATGGGATAAGAGGGAAGGTCCTCTCCTGGACTGGTAACTGGTTAAAACACAGGACACAAAGGGTAGGAATAAATGGTCCATTTTTACAGTGGAGAGAGGTCCCACAAAGCAATTTAGTCACCTAACTTCCACCTTTGACACCAAAATCCAACGTTTCAATCCTCAAGCTCCCAGCTCTGCTGCTGCCTGACCCCGTAAGCTCCTTAAGTCCCTAAGTTTCTGCTGGTGAGTAACCACACAGCTGCCTAAATCCTGACACCTGACACCTAGCTCATGGTTAGGCCTCAGCAGGACCACACAGTAGGCGTTCCCCTGCCTATCTCAGATATGGCGTCTGATCCAGGAGACAAGCTCTCAGATGGGTGACATGGGTGAACCCCCCACAAAACACAGCCGCAGGAGGTACTATTTGTCATGCCCCCTCCCCCCGCCTTATGCCCAACAGTCCAATGCTCAGAGCGCTCCCCAGTGTGTGGCACAGTCAGGGTCCAGTTCACGTCCCAGTGTTTACAGGCTTGGCAGAGTCAGGTTTTTCTCAGTACATGTCGTTAAACGTTGATTTCACCAAACACCCACAAACCGACCCAATATTCCCATAGATGATGATTGAAATGTACAGATTGGCCAAGTAGCAGAAATGCTGCTTGAGAACGTATCAGAGTTTGATTGAAGGCTATTTTCTTGGTATAATTTGATGTGAGATGTTGAGAGTTTGTGGTTTAAAGGTTAGAAAGCTTTACTTTTTTGAATTGCATCATCTATTGCCATTAAATAATTATAGTCTGAACCCGCCCAGCCCACTGGCCATCATTTCCTGCAACTGTGAACATTCAATGGATTAAAAAATGCTTAAAAATCAACTTTGTCAAAATGATGACAAGGTAAAAATCAAATTCTGCCAAGCTGAAATATTGAACCTGAATGGAACGGCTGCAAGAAGAGGGCTCCAGAGATACCCGCTCCATAGACCAGTGGAAGTGGGGGAGATTTGAAGCTGGTTTTATCATGTCCCAGCTGAGCACCCCAGCTGCTGAGGTCTCAGGACAGCCCCTTCACCTCGGCTGTCTTTTGCAAAGAAGCACTGATGAGGTTTAGACACTGGACTCCCGGTGAGGGGTTCCCAGCTGTGGATCCCAACCAGACCTCTGTGCAGCCGAGACTTAGATGTTGAAATCCTGGGGGAGGAGGGTTAGGCCACACCCCTCTCCTCAGCATTTCCTATTGGCTGGCTTAGGCGGGTGCCTGCCTTGTCGATCCCATCCTCGGGCACCTCCCTCTCCCCATGAGCCATGGGGGAAGCTGGGCCCGTGACCCAGGAGACCACTGGGGGTTCGGCATCGCAATGCTGAGCCGAAGGGGAGCTAGCCACAGGACCCGGCATAGAACCCAGGCGTCCTGACTCCTTAACCGCTGCTCAGACCCACCCACCCCACGTCCTTCCCGGAGCTGGGACTAGAATAGGACCCATGTGTCCTGGCTCCCCAGACTGTTCCCTCACCCAGGCTGGGTAGGGTCCAGCTCACCTACCAATTGTGGTTTCTGTCACAATGATGCCACAAGAGTCAAACCCAATGGCGCAGGTCTGTAGGTCGCCCGAGCAGCTGGTTCCTGGTCCAAAGCAAACCTCACACTGCAGACAGGACCCTAGAGAAGGAGAGAGAATA